TCTCTTATTGAGCTTAATTGTCAATTGGATTAAAAATATCTTGGAAACAGATTTCATCATGAGRGAAGTTAGATAACAACACAAAAACATCTCTTGATGTTGAGCTAATACCTTAACATCATAAATGTCTATGTCTTCTTCTGCATCTTTTTCGAAATATTCGTCTCTCAGGATAAGTGCTATTTCTCGCCATTTAACAAAGACCTACAAAGATAAACTTCATTCATTCTTTTATTGYATAGTAAATTTAGCTAAATGAATGTAAATGTATCTATTATATTGTTAGCCTACACGTGTGATCTCGTTTGTTTTGAGAGGGAAACCACACCCGTCCCAACACCAGGAAAAAAACGCAAAATAAAACGTTCATTGCTGTTTGCTGCCTTAACGGAGTATCAGTATAAAATTGTTTTTGCAATTTTGCAGCATGCAATGACCCTTCTCTAGATAATCTCTCTTTCTTTGCACCTTTCTTCGTCGCCGGATAAGAAGTTAAATACCACTGCTCAATTTCCTTTTGCTTTTCTGTCCAGTATTTATAGCTATCATCTAAATGGCTTTTCAACTCTAAAAGCATTGGTTGAGAGCATTTAAAAGTGAATATTACATATAATGATCATTCATATAAGCCCTTATAACACAATTTCAAACACCCATAGCAAAAGGATTAACATCAGCTACAGCTGAGTACCTTAGCATATTATTGAGTCTCGATGTCTCCACTAGTTTTTGGGTGTCATGCGTGAATTGAAAACCGAGAGAAAAATGACRCAACAATGCTGCAAAGAAACTTAAGGTTGCGACTGAGTAGTCGGCTTTATATTAAGTATTAGTGGCACTTACTTGGCAGGCTGTCCAAAGGTACATTTTCTATGTGTGTCCCGAAATCTCTTGAAAAAGATTTTCCTGATCGAATTTTGTCGATTACCTGGTGTATATAGTGGTGCAAGATAAAACGTTATGACTATTATAGGACGTCAAATGTGAAACTCGTAATTGGTAATTGTTCTTTCAGATTATACTTTGTGCTTCTAAATTTAGTTTTTTTTTGTTATATGGCGAACTGTTTTTCGAACATAAACCTACCTCACTTCGCATGTATTCACAAAATGTTATCTTATCAAGAAGAAACTGTTTAGCGCCATTTTGTGTTTTTTCAAAATGTTCAGCCAACTTGTCTGTAGGCAAGCCCTCATCCACGATGATTTCAACGTTCTTCAAAATCTGTCTTTCCGTAGGACCTTTTGTGGCAGAAAATAGATATACAAGTTTTATACTTTTAAATACTTGTAGAAATTCACGCGAATTCATTGCTTTTTGCAGCAATTTTTTCTTGCCAAAGCGTGCATTTTTTTAAGTTTGATCTTTGTGTCACACGATTATCGTTACATACCTGAGAAAGTTGCTACGTTGATGTTTTTCTTTTCAACACAAGTCTCCTGTCCAGGATTCTTCTTGATGCTAATGCGTTTTTGTTTGAAGCTYTCAGGACCAAACTGAGCTAGCAAATTGTTTAAATCATCTAGGCAAGATACTTGGTGAGCTAGTAGACCAAGGGATCCCAACAACTGCTCGGTATTCCTCATTTCACAGTGCAATGAACATAGCATAACATCACT